CAGAACCTATCATCCCACAGTTGAAGAGTTCACATCCTTTTCATCAGTCATGGAACTTTCTCTAGGGTAGATTATATGCTAGGCCATAAAGCAAGTCTTACAATATTTTTAAAAATTGAAATAATGCCATGCATCTTTTCTGATCACAATGGAATAAATCTGAAAATTAAAAATTTAAGAATCTCTAGAAAATATGCAAACACATGAGGACTGACCAATACACTCCTGAATGAACAGTGGGTCATAGAAGAAATCAAAATGGAAATCAAAAAATTCCTATAAATGAATGAAGATGGCAATGCAACCTATCAAAACTTACGGGGTGGGGCCCGCATCGTGGTGCAGTAGGTTAATCCTCTGCCTGCAGCGCCGGCATCCCATATGGGTGCCAGTTCTAGTCCTGGCTGCTCCTCTTCCAATCCAGCTCTTTTCTGTGGCCTGGGAAGGCAGTGGAGGATGACCTAAGTCCTTAGGCCCCTGCACCTACATGGGAGACTGGAAGAAGCACCTGGCTCCTGGCTTTAGATCGGCACAGCGCCAGCTGTTGCGGCCACTTGGGGAGTGAACCAACGGACGGAAGGCCTTTCTCTCTGTCTCTCCCTCTCACTGTTTGTAACTCTAACTCTCAAATTAAATAAATAAAATCTTAAAAAAAAAACTCATGGGATGCAGCAAAAGCAGTGTTAAAAGAGAAGTTTATAGGAATTGGTGCCAAATCAATAAGCTGGAAAGGCATCAAGTAAATGACCTATCAAGGCATCTCAAGGATCTAGAAAATAACAACATCAAGCCAAATCAAAACTAGTAGGAGGAAAGAAATAATTAAAATCAGAGAAGAACTAAGTAAAATTGAAACAAAAAAATGAATAGAAAGATCAGTGAAATGAAGGACTGGCTTCCTTGAAAAAATAAAAAAACTGATACACCATTAGCCCAATAAATCAAAAGAAAAAAAAAAGACAAAGAAGACATAAATCAATAAAATCAGAGGGGCCAGGGCCATGGCTCACTTGGCTAATCCTCTGCCTGCGGCGCCGGAATCTCATATGGGCACCAGTTCTAGTCCCGGTTGCTCCTCTTCCGGTTCAGCTCTCTGCTGTGGCCCAGGAAGGCAGTGGAGATTGGCCCGAGTGCTTGGGCACCTGCACCCATGTGGGAGACCAGGAGGAAGCACCTGGATCCTGGCTTTGTATCAGCATAGCTCTGGCCTTGGCGGCCATTTGGGGGGTGAACCAACAGAAGGAAGACCTTTCTCTCTGTCTCTCTCTCTCACTGTCTATCTGTCAAATAAATTTAAAAAATAAAATAAAATAAAACCAGAGATGAAAAAGGAAATCTAAAAACAGATACCATAGAAATATAAAGAATCATCAGGAATTACTGCAAACAGCTATATGACAACAAATTGGAAAATCTAGAAGAAATGGATAGATTCCTGGAAAAATGCAATCTACTAAAATTGAGGCATGAAGACATAGAAAAGTTGAACAGACCAATAACCAAGGCAGAGATTGAAACAGAAATAAAGACCCTTCCAACAAACAAAAGCCGAGGACCAGAGGGCCTCACCACTGAATTCTACCAAACTTTTCAAGAAGAACAAATTCCAATTCTTCTCAAATTATTCATAAACAATTTAAAAGGAGGGAATTCTCCAAACTCCTTCTATGAAGCCATCATCACCTTAATTCCAAAACCAGAAAAAAATACAGCAAAGATAACTATAGTCCAGTATCCCTGATGAGTATACACGCAAAAATCCTCAACAGAATTCTAGCAAACTGAATCCAACAACACTTCGGAAAAATCATTAACATGGACCAAGTGGGCTATATCCCTGGAATGCAGGGATGTTTCAAGACACACAAATCAATAAATATGATACATCACATTAACAAATCAAAGAATAAAAATCATATGATTATCTTAATAGATGTAAAGAAAGCATTTGATAAAATATGACATTATTTCATGATAAAAACCTTAAGCAAATTAGGTATAGAAGGAACATTCCTCAACACAATCAAAGCAATATATATGACAAATCCACAGCCAGCAACATACTGAATGGGGAAAAGTTGGAAGCATTTCCACTAAGCTCTAGAACCAGACAAGGATGCTTATTTTCACTATTGCTATTCAGCATGGTCCTCAAAGTTTTAGCCAGAGCCGTTAGGGAAGAAAAAGAAATGAAAAGGATACAAATTGGAAAGGATGCACTCAAATGATACCTATTTGTAGATGGCATGATATTTTATTAAGATTTATTTATTGGAAAGGCAGAGTTACAGAGAGAAATAGGGAGAGGCACAGAGGTCGGTCTTCCATCTACTGGTTCACTCCCTAGTTGGCCACAACAGCTGGAGTTGGGCTGATCCAAAGCCAGGAGCCAGGAGCTTCTTCCAGGTCTCCCATGTTATTGCAGAGGCCTAAGCACTTGTGCCTTCTTCCACTGCTTTCCCAGGCCATTAACAGGGAGCAGGCTAGGAAGTGGAGCAGTTGGGACTTGAGCTGGTGCCCATACGGGATGCTGGTGCTATAGGCAAATGTTTAACCTACTATGTCATAACACCAGCCCCAGCATGATTTTATACATAGGTGAACCAAAAGACTGCACTATGAGATTGTGGAACTCATAAGAGAGTTTGGTAAAGTTGAAAGATATAAAATCAATACAAAAATCAAGAGCCTTTGTATATACAGGCAATGCCATGGCTGAGAAAGAATGTATAAGATCAATCCTATTCACAATAGCTACAAAAATATTTAAATACCTTGAAATAAATTTAACCAAGGTGGTGAAAGACTTCTACAGTGAAAATTATAAAACTTTAAAGAAATTAAAAAAAAAACAAAAAAAGGAAAAATCTTTGATGTTCATGGATTGGAAGAATTAATATCATCCAAATGTCCACATTACTGAAAACAACTTACAGATTCAATGTTATCCCAATCAAAATACTAAATAATTTCTTCTCAGATATAGCAAAAAAAAGATGCTAAAATTCATATAGAAACACAAGAGCCCCTGAATAGTTAAAGCAATCTTAAACAACAAAAACAAGTTGGAAGAATCACAATTCAAGATGTCAAGACATACTTTAGGGAGGTTAGAATCAAAATGCCTGTTATTTGGGTCATCAAAGAAGGAGGTACCTTTCTCTGAAGGGAGGAGAGAACTTCCACTTTGACCATGGCCTTGTCTAAATATGATCAGAGTCAGTGAACTCAGGGGGCTTCCATAGCCTTGGCAACTCATGACAAGAGCCTAGGGTGATTACTGATGCCATAAACAAGAGTGTCAATTTGTTAAGTCAACAGGAGTCACTGTGCACTTACTCCTCATGTAGAATCTTTGTCCTTAGTGTGCTGTACTTTGAGATATAATGCTATAACTAGTACTCAAACAGTATTTTTCACTTTATGTTTCTGTGTGGGAGCAAACTGTTGAAATCTTTACTTAATGTATGCTAAACTGATCTTCTGTATATAAAGAGAATCGAAAATGAATCATGATGTGAATGGAAGGGGAGAGGGAGTGGGAAAGGGGAAGGTTGCGGGTGGGAGGGACGTTATGGGGGGGAAGCCATTGTAATCCATAAGCTGTACTTTGGAAATTTATATTCATTAAATAAAAGTTAAAAAAAAGAAAAAAATGCCTGTTATTGGCACAAAAATAGACATGTAGACCAATGGAACAGAATAGAAACTTCTGAAATAAATCCACACATCTACAATCAACTAATCTACGACAAAGGAGCTAAAATCAATACCTGGAGAAAGGAGAGTCTCTACAACAAATGGTGCTAGAATGGATCTCTGTGTGCAGAAGTATGAAACAAGATCCCTACCTCATACCTTACACAAAAGTCAATTCAAAATGGATCAGTGATTGCAATTTATGACTCAATACCATCAAATTACTAGAGGAAAATATTGGGGAAATTCTGCAAGACATTGGCACAGGCAACGAAATCTTGGAGAAGACCCAGGAACACAGGCAATCAAAGCAGAAATAGACAAATGGGATTACATCAAGTTGAGAAGCTTCTGTGCTGCAAAGGAAATACTCAGCAAAGTTAAGAAGCAACTGATAGAATAGGAGAAAATATTTGCAAACTATGCAACTGATAAAGGATTAATATCCAGAATCTATAAAGAGCTCAAGAAACTCAATAACAATAAAACAAACAACACAATAAGAAGTGGGTAAAGGACTTGAACAGACTTTTTTTTCCTTTTTTAATAACAGATTTTTTAAAGATTGATTTATTTATTTGAAAGGCAGAGTTACAGAGAGGCAGAGGCAGAGAAGAGTGAGAGGGGGAGAGAGAGAGAGCCTGCGCGAAAGAGAAAGAGAGAGAAGAGAGTTATCTTCCATCTGCTGGTTCACTCCCCAGATGGCTGCAATGGCCACATCTAGTCTGATCCAAAGGCAAGATTTAGCAGCCTCTTCTAGTCTTCATATGGGTGCAGGGGCTGAAGGATTTGGGTGGATTTCCACTGCACTCCCAGGTCATAGCAGAGAGCTAGATCAGAAAGGAAGCATCCAGGACTCAAAAGGGTACCCATGTGGGATACCAGCACTGCAGGCAATGGCTTTACCTGCTATGCCACAGTGTCAGCCCTGACAGGTATATTTTTCAAAAGAGGAAATGCAATTGGCCAACAGACACACAAAAAAAATGCTCAGGATCACTAGCCATCAAGGAAATGCAAATCAAAACCACAATGAAGTTTCACCTCACCACAGTTAGAATGGCTTTCATACAGAAATCAACAATTAATAAATGCTGGTGAGGATATGTGAAAAATGGCACCCTAATCCACTCTTGGTGGGACTGTAAACTGGTGCAGCCACTGCGGAAGATAGTATGGAGGTACCTCAGAAAGCTGCAAACAGATATACCATATGACTCAGTAATCCTGCTCCCAGAAAGTTACTGAAATGAAATGAAATCAGCAGATGAAAGATAAACAAAACTAGGAGAATTACTAACCAGGAAGTAAACGTTGGGATATACTCTTGTTGCCACACAAATGGGAGACAGAGCAGGTCACAGCAGACACATTGCTATCTGGCCAATGGCACGTACTCCAGACAGTCACTGTGCCATTGTCCCAATGTTCTTGCTCAGTGACACAGTCCCCTACTGGGGCCCAAGAGACCTGCGCAGCCGGCTTCCCTGCAACAGCCTTGCACACCGCGGTTCTGTTCTTGACGGGAGACAGCGTCACTTCAGGGCAAACTGCAGAGATTTAAGGAAAAAATCTTACCATCAGGGATATGCAATTTACAGAGGTATTTGTTTTGGTGTCAGATCTAGTGATCTGAAATGCTACATGCCTCATGTTCCTTACCTGACACTTGGAGGCGATACCCATGATCGAAATTCCCATAAGGTGTTGCCATTTGACACCTGTAATAGCCATCATGACTGAGAGCCACTGGGTGGATCTGAAGTTCAGGGTTTACATCAGGTCTGGAGGCCCAGGTGATTCTCTCATCAGTACAGTTGTTTTTTGTGATCTCATTTGTGTCCTCCTTGTAGGATATTTTGCAGGTCGGCCTGTCTCTGAGGATTATTTCCCATGTTATTAGCACCACATTTGTCAATGGGATAGGAGAGCAACAGAGCTCAGCCTTTGTACCCATCAGCACAGTCAGTGAAGTATTAACTGGACACACACAAAAGGAGAATGACAAAGAAAAGCTGTTATGATAAGGCACTTCGTTTGTTAAGTTTATCCACAACATAGTACATGAAGCTGTCATAAAGACTACTTTGCAAGTAATCTTACTATAAAATATTGTATTTACATAAAAATCAGCATTCATAAAATATTTATAACATTAAAACCAACATAACAACTATTTTCTCTAGCACTAGTCATTATTAGGCAAACAGTATGTATCATAAATTCTTTAAATTAATTCAAGATTTTTCTCCAGAAACTTTTTATTTAAAATAATACAAACTTTATGCATTTCATAAATACAACTTTAGGAACATAGTGATTCTTCCCACCCACACTCCCACCCTTCCTCCTCCTCCCTCTCCTATTCCTATTCTTATTTCTCACTGAGATCTATTTTCAATTAACTTTATACACATACAAGTAACTATATATTAAGTAAAGAGTTCAACAAATAGTATGAAAAAAACTTGAATTAATTTAAAATTCTAAACTAAATAACAAATGCAATATTCTAAAGCTAATCTTTTGTAGGTAGACTATTACATTTATCATATAGTTCACATTCCTGTGGAAAGTCATTGGAATAATTAATGAGGTAGTCTCTTCTCCTAAGTTTAAATTTATTCAGGGCTGGCATTGTGGCTTAATAGGCCCAACCTCCGCCTGTGGTGCTGACATCCCATATGGGTGCTAGTTAGTGTCCTGGCTGCCCCTCTTCCAATCCAGCTCTCCGCTAATGGCCTGGGAAAGCAGTAGAAACTACCTCAAGTGCTTGGGCCCTTGCACCTGCATGGGAGAACTAGAAGAAGAAGAAGCTCCTGCCTGCTGTCTTCCAATTGGTTCAGCTCCAGCAGTTGTAGCCATCTGGGGAGTGAACCAGCGAATGGAAGAACTTTCTCTCTGTTTCTCTTTCTCTCTGTCTGTAACTCTACCTCTCAAATAAATAAACAAAATCTTTTTTAAAAAATTTGTTCATTTGAAAGTGTTGGAGAGAGAGAGAGAGAGAGAGAGAGATCTTCCATCTTCTGGTTCACTCCCTAAATGGCCATAAAACAACCTGAGCCAGGTGGTCCGAAGCCAGGAGCTTCTTCTGGGTCTCTCATATTCTTTACTCTTTTACTTGGGTGCAGGGGCCTGAGCACTTGGTCCCCTTCTGCTGCTTTCCCAGGCACATTAGCAGGGAGCTGGATTGGAAGTGAGCAGCCAGGATTTGAATCTGCACAAATGTGGGATGCCAGCATTGCAGGTGGTATCTCTAACTACTATACACAACGGCCCTGATTCTCCTAAGTTTTGTTGAGTGTAAAATGTCAGTAGCACCAAAACCCAATGCCTGTCCTTATAGGTGCTAATTCTCACATAAATGTGATGAGTACATGGTACTTTCATGAAGAGTGACTAACATGGCATTCAGATTGAACAGGCTGAATATTTTCATGAAGTTTAATTTTTATTTCGAAAACCCCAAAATCAGTGAAATCAACAGATTTTAGAATATCCTATAATTTTGCCAATTAAGCCAACCAAAGAAGTTGAAAAATGATGATCCTTAATGATAAGAGATGCTTAGAAATATCTATTTCTGGTGCTAGTAGTAGGGAACATACATTTTGGTTTTTTTCTCTTTCATCAGAAGTTTATGGAACATACATTTTGAAAAAGAAAAACCAAGATCTATTTTTCTATGAATTGTTCATAAAAGGGATTTTATTGAAAATATATGACATTATAAAATGTAGATTTTGGATGAATATCCCTTCCAATTTAGTTATATGTATATTCCTATACAATTCATCAATGAACTTTGATCACAGATTTTGTTTCTGTATGTTCTATTTCATTATCATGATTAAATACAGAAGGTTAGCTTTTAAAGAAAAAAATTAAGCCTTGCAATCTACAAACATCTTCCAACATAAATCATGTTGGAAGTGTACTTCTCAGAAACATAATGGATCCATGACTAAAGAAGTGATTAGTCAACCCAAGTATGTAGTTTAACTCAGGAAACAAAGGTGAGTGTCAGTGATGTTGCCATTCTAACATGAACAGCTCCAGCTAGGGAGGGGAAAAATCTTTGTATGTGTGGATGAAACTTGTTATTGCTAAAATCTGCAATTTGTATTTCCTCTTTCCTGTTTTGATGTCACCTGTGCTAGTCAAGCCCTTGCTTGCATTCATAGCCAAATGAATTTTATATATATTTATATATATATATTTATATATATAAAACTAGATGGAAAAAACAGGTAAAACATCAATGCATATCTGAGATGCAGTTAAAGCCAGGTTCTTTCCAACACTCCAACTTGGCAGAGGTTTACAGGCAAGTGAGAATGTGACTTCTTTGGGTAACAACCAGAAGTTGGATCACACAGGGTCCCTCATAGCACCATATTCTTCAACTCATCACACAGTAGCCTTCAGTTAACGTTTCAACAAAGTTCAACCCTCCATCCCCTCCGTGCTGGGCACTAGATCAGGAAGCACATTACCTTCTTGAGGAAGGGCTGAAATGTTCTGTGTCGTCTGCTTTCCATGCATGCATGAAGTACTTGAAGCTAGAAAATATTTAGAGCACGTAAAAGGAAATCAATCTTGTGTGCTCTAATAGAGTGGAAGTCTCAGTCTCTCCACAGACTTATTCAACATAATACACGGATTGCACAATCAATGCAAGTCATCAATCATTAATAGAAAAACATGCTAATATCTTAAAATCACATTCATAGGCTATGAATCAATTTTCCATTTATGTGACCCTCCTTTTGCCTACTATTTTGAACAAGGCAACCCTGCTTCCATCTCTTTTCTCTTCCCCAGCCTGGGAGTTGGAGCCAGTGTGGATATCCCACATGAGTAGTTCTGATTCTATACCCTCTTCCAGGTATCACCCATTAAGAAAAGATGTTTGGTCCAGTGGTGGGCACCTCACCCAGATAAACAAAGCCGATCCATTTTTGCAATAATTTAGAATCATAATTCTCTCTCTTTTCCTTATTCATTTTTCCTAACTTGTAAGAGGGAAAAGGGAAAAAATTAGGTAATAGCAGAGAGAACAGAGATGTGAGTCCTTACTAACTTCAACTGTGTAATTCCACAGTTTCTGAGATCCACATGTGTTTCTTCTATTGGGACCTATGTTTGTTACAATCACAAAAATGTTAATCTGTTCCAAACTTGATTTCGGGAAATTACTATACTGTAGTTTTTAAAAGAGTGGAAAAAAGAAGGACAACTATTTAAAAACCAATAATTGAGAATCAGTTTCTCCCCAATTTTTTTTATCTTTTTATTTTTAGATTCATTTCATTTATTTGAAAGACAGAGTTATGGAGAGAGGTAGAGACAGAGAGAGAGGTTTTGCATCCACTGGTTCACTCCCCAATTGGCCACAATGCACAGAGCTGCACAGATCTGAAGCCAGGAGCCAGGAGCTTCTTCCAGGTCTCCCACGTTGGGGCAGAGGCCCAAGAACTTGTGCCAACTTCTACTATTTTCCCAGGCCATAACAGAGAGCTGGATTGGAAGAGGAACAGCCGGGACTCGAACCAGCACACACAGGGGATGCCAGCGCTTCAGGTTAGGGCTTTAACCTGCTGCATTACAGTGCCGGCCCCTCTCCTCAATTTAATGACAGATGTGGAGTCATATATCCAGAAGACTCAAACAACACCTACCATAATAAATAAAAAATAAGCAAAATACACTTACACACTTCATGTTGAAACTACAGAAAAGTCAAAAACAAAGAAAAAATTATGAAAACAAACATGGTAAAATAAACAATTTCCATACCACCATCTCCTCAGAAATCGTGCAAGTAAGAAGAGAATAGTGAAATATTCAAAATATTTAGGGGCCAGTGCTGTGGCATAGCAGGTAAAACCACCACCCGCGGTGCCAGCATCCCATATGGGCACTGGTTCAAGTCCCATCTGCTCTACTTCTGATCCAGCTCTCTGCTGTGGCCTGGAAAAGCAATAGAAGATACCCAAGTCCTTGGGCCCCTGCACCCACATGGGAGACCCAGAAGAAGCTCCTGGCTCCTGGCTTTGGATCTGCCCAGCTCTGGCTCGCTCGCTCTCTCTCTCCCCCTCTGACTCTTTGTAACTTTGCCTTTCAAACAAATAAATAAATCTTTTAAAAAAATAAAATATTTAGAGAAAAATACCACCAACCTAGAATTCTATATCCTTCAAAAATTAGGGAAACAAAGATTTTCACAAACAATAATTAAGGGAATCTGTTGCCAATATGTCTGCCTTGAAAGAAATTTGATATGCTGTGAAACGTTCTTTAGGGGGTAATAGAGGTCAGAAACTTGGATCTATATAAAGGAAGGCAGAGCATCAGAGCAGGAAAAAGTGAAAATAAAGAAAAAGCCTGAACTTAAACTGCTCAGGGATATGAAAGCAGTAGAAGATGGCCTAAAGTGCCGGCATCCCAGTTCTAGTCCCGGCTGCTCTTCTGATCCAGCTCTCTGCTATGGCCTGGGAAAGCGGTGGAAGATGGCTCAAGTCCTTGGGCCCCTGTACCCATGTGGGAGGCCCGGAAGAAGCTCCAGGCTCCTGCCTTCGTATCGGCGCAGCTCCGGCTGTTGAGGCCATCTGGGGAGTGAACCAGTGGATGGAAGACCTCTCTCTCTGTCTCTACCTCTCTCTGTAACTCTGTCTTTCAAATAAATAAAATAAATCTTTAATAAAAATGAAGGAGAAATAAAGTATTTTCCAATTTTCCAGATAAGCAGAAACAGAAATTTCACCACCACCACACCAGCCTTACAAGAAATTCTGAAGAGTATCCTGCATTAGAAGTAAATATGCAACACATGTCACCACCAAATTCACTGACAGAGCAGGTAAAACTATTATCTAATCAACAAAATTACAGGTCTTAGTTCTTATCTATCAGTCCTAACCTTGAATGTAAATGGATTAAATTTGGGGCTGGTGCTATAGCATAGTAGGCTAAGCCTCCACCTGTGGTGCAGGCATCCCATATGGGTGCCGGTTCAAGTCCTGGCTGCTCCACTTCTGATCCAGCTCTCTGTGATAGCCTGGGAAAGCAGTGGAAGATGGCCCAAGTGCTTGGGCCCCTGTAGCTATGTGGGAGACCTGGAAGAAGCTCCTGGCTTTAGATCAGACCAGTCCTGGCCATTGCAGCCATTTGAGGAGTGAACCTTTGGATGGAAGACCTTTCTGTCTCTCCCTCTCTCTGTCTGTAATTCTACCTCTCAAATGATTAAATATTTTTTAAAATGGATTAAATTCATCAACTAAAAATCTTAGGTTTACTGGATGGATAAGAAAAAACCACAACCCCACTATATGCTGTCTACAAGAAACTCCCTTCACAAGCAAAGATACACACAGACTGAAAGTGAAGGGTTAGAAAAAGATAAACCAGGCAAATGGAAACCAAGAGTGAGCAGGCATAGCTATTCTGTATTCAGACAAAAAGAAATCTTTAAATCAAAAACTATAAAAAGACATCAAGAAGGACTTTATATTTGAAAAAAGTTTCTATTCAGCAAGAAGACATAACAATCATAAATGTATATGCACCCAATGCAAGAACAATCAGATATATACAGCAAATACTATTAGACCTAAAAGGAGAGATAGACTCCAATATAGTAATAATGAGTGACTTCAACATCCCACTGTCATTAATGGACAGGTCATCCAGACAAAAAAAATCAATAAAGATACATCAGAGTTGTGAAACTGAAATTTTTTTTTTGACAGGCAGAGTTAGACAGTGAGAGAGAAACAGAGAGAAAGGTCTTCCTTCCGTTGGTTCAACCCCCAAAAAGGCCGCTACGGCCAGAACTACGCCGATCCAAAGCCAGGAGCCAGGTGCTTCCTCCTGGTCTCCGATGTGGGTGCAGGGCCCAAGCACTTGGACCATCCTCCACTGCCTTCTCAGGCCACAGCAGAGAGCTGGAATGGAAGGAGCAACCAGGACAGAATCCGGCGCCCCAAAACTGAAATTTTGAGATTTGATGATTTTTAACAGCCCTTGTCTCAACTGTTGAGGAACAGTGTTTTTTCTTCGTACTATTTGTTGAACTCTTTACTTATCATAGGGTTAATCTTATGAGTATAAAGTTAAATGAAAAAAAGATCTTGGTAAAATTTAAGAATGGAAATAGGAGAGGGAGGAGGAAGAAGGGTAGGAACGTGGGCCATAGGGAGGGTAATATGAGACCTATCACTGTTCTGAATCTGTGTATATAAATACATGAAATTCGTATACATTAAATAAAATTTCAAAAAAAGAAAAATACTATCAAGCAAATGGACCTCACAGACATTTACAAAGCATTTCACCTAACAACTACAGGATAAACATTCTTCTCCATCAGCACATGAAGTATTTTCTAGGGTAGATCACATATTGGGCCACAAATCAAGTCTCAGCCAATTTAAAAATATTGAAATCATACCATATATCTTCTTAGAACATAAAGCAATAAAACTAGAAATCAGCAACAAGAATAGAACACTCATAAATACCTGGACATTAAACAATAAGCTACTGAATAAGTAATACATCATGGAGGAAATTAAAAAGAAATCAAAAACGTTCTTGAAACAAATTAAAATGAAAACATAAATATCAAAACCTGTGGGATAAATCAAAAGCATTATTAAGAAGGGAGATTATTGCATTAAATGTTTATAAGAAAAATAAATGTCTCAAATTAAAGATTTTATGATAAATATTAAAGACAGAAAAACAAAAACAAACCATACCCAAAATCAGTAGGAGCTGAAAAATAATAAGGATCAGAGCAGAATAAATGAAATTGAAACTAAAAAAAAACACAAAAGATCAACAAAGCAAAAAGTTGTTTTTTTTGAGAAGATAAAATAGATAAACCTCTAACCAGACTAACAAAAAGAGAAAAAACTCAAATAAATAAAATTAGAGATGAAAAGAGAGACATTACGACCAACACCACTGAAATACCAAGGATCATAAGAAACTACTCTGGAGAACTATATCCTAATAAACTGGAAATAAACAAGGAAAACCTTGAAGAGAAGGATAAATTCTTGGATTCATACAACCTACCAAGATTAACTCAAGAAGATACAGACAACTTTAAACAGACCCATAACAAGCAATGAGATTGAATTAGTAATCAAAATCTTCCATCAAAGAAAAGTCCAGGACCAAATGGCCTCACTACTTAATTCTACAAAACATTCAGAGAGGAAGCAACTCCAATACTCTTCAAACTATTCTAAAATATTGAACATGATAGACCTCTGCCAAACACTTTATCAGGCCAGAAGTACCTTGATATCAAAAGCAACGATACCACACAAAAAGACTTCAGACCTATATCCTTAGTGAACATAGATTCAAATATTCTCAACAAAATACTAGCAAATCATATCCAAAACCACATCAAAAAGATCATATATCATAATCAAGTGGAACTTATTCCAGAAATGCAAGGATAGGTCAACATTCACAAATCAATATACATCATAAATTACATCAACAGAATGGAGAACAAAACCATATGGTCATCTCAAAAGATGCA